GAGAATATTTTCAAAGGCCCACATATTCCAGAAACTTGAATTTTTAAAGAAAAATTTTCAAAGGCCCACATATTCTAGAAACGTGGATTTTTTAAGAACATTTTTCAGAGGGACATTCAGGCTATTAACTTGGATTATTCCTGGCATTAATTGGGATTTTTGAGAATATTTTTTTTTTGTTTTCAATGACAAACGAATCTAAAAACTTAGTCTTTTATTGTGTTATTTTTAAATTACTAATAATATCACAATAAAAATAGGACCAATCCGACTATAAACGTGGACAAACGGCCATCCATCGTAGTAACGTGTATTTATTAGAAATATTTTTCAAAGGACCATCCATGCTATTAAGGTGCATTTTTCAAAGGCCTACTTATTTTAAAAACGTGTATTTTATATACATATTTTTCAAAATCCCACCATGGCTATAAACTTAGATTTTTTTAAGAATATTTTTCAAAGGCCCACCTTTTCTAGTAAAGTGGATTTTTTAAGAAACTTTTCGAAAACTTTTGTAGAAACATGTATTTTTAAGTAAATTTTTCAAATGGCGATCCAGGCTATAACTTGGATTTTTAGGGAATATTTGTTAAATATTTGTAAACGTGGCTATATATAAAAGACAATCTGAGCTATAAACTTTCAAATGACTAATAATAACACAAGTAAACAAAATACTCAAATAAAATGGACTTTAACTCATTTTTTCCGAAGGAGTGTCGAGGCTATAAATGTGGATTATTTGGTGAATAGTTTTCCAAAGGCTATCCATGCTACAAATAAATAGAGTGAATTTTCAAAAGACTACCTGGGCTTTAAATTTTCATTTTTTAAAGGGTATCGACAAAATGTTTAGGAATATTTTTTTATCTTCCTAGCTCTTACAAAGGATTTTCAAATCAATTTTTCAGGGCATAGATTGAGATTTTTAAGAAATTGTGTGCCTTTCCAAATTTTCAGGATCTACAATAGTCCTTCCTCCAAGATTTTCGATCGCCACAAGTCGCTTTAAAAATATGCCGCCCTTGGAATCCAGCATCCACGAAACATCCCTCCTCCGACCACAATATCCCTCCTTGAGGTATCGTGATCCACAAAATTTCAACTTAAGAGTTTAAGATCCACAATTATCCACATAAGGCTTTGGAATAAATCAAAAATCCATAAAATATCCTGGTAAGAAACAAGAAAACCGGTTCATAATACATACTCTGAGGTATCCACCATATCCCTACTCAAAAATCCACAAAACATCTACTCCAGAGATTTCGAATAATCTTAGGAATCCACGAGCCACAATGTCCTTCTGAAGAAGCTATTAAAAAATAATCTTCAGTTTTTCTTCTTTCATGAAATATTGTCCAATGATTCAACGATACATAAAACCCCTTTCTTTAATGCCCGCGTCAAAAAGAACTCTTCTTAAGAATCCGAAAAAGAATCACGATCCACAAAGCCCTGTTAAAGATGCCGCCTTGGAATCCATGATTTACAATATACCATTTTAAGAGACTACGATCCCCAAAACACCTTTTAAAGATCCACATTCCACAATTTACCTAATTTGTAATACTACACTCCGAAAGAACTCTTCTAAAGGATCCGACAAAACATCACGACTCACAAGGCTCTGTCAAAGATGCCGCCTTTGGAATCCACGATCCACAAAACACCTTCTTAAGGATTTATAATCCTTAAAGCACCTTCTTCCTTAAACACCTTTTTAAAAGTGCACAATCCACAAAACGCTTTCAAAAGAATTCATGGTCCTACTTCAAAATGATTTCCAATAAATCACCTCTTAAGAATCGTCAACCCATAAAAATTCCATATTAAAGATCCCCGATGTCCAAAATGCCTTCTTAAAAATCCAACATCATCGGAATGTGTTCTCAAGCATTCACGATCCACAAAAAATCGAAAATCCACCAAATATGCCCTTTAGAGATTTGGAACTTTCTTAAGAATCCACGAGCAACGTTGTGCCTTCTTAAGAATCTATTATTCAGAAAAAGGTTTTATTTAGAATTTTTCCATTTATGATTGAATGAATCAACGGTACATAATTCCCCTTTCTTAAATGACATGTCCACAGAATCTACGACATGACTCTGGTTCCCGAGACTTGGTCAAGTACGCTAAGAAGACTGTGTTAGAATTTTTATGGAAATTGTATATGAGATAATACTTTTGTTATGGTCTTGCAATGACTGTCTCATATTTGGAAATTTAAATAGGCTACTTTTGGATCATTTAAAATTTGAAGCCTATTTTAAGGAGGCAAAAATATTTAAGCCTTGTGTGTTAATTTTGTATGACTTTTGATATTTTGAAATGGACGTCTTTCAAATTTTTACAAGGACATATATTCCAATTACTAGAAGTGCTATTTAGGGAGAAAACATTATTTAAAGCATAATTTTAGGAGGTTTTGTGTAGATACTTACTAAGCACTTATTTTTATATATTATATAGGGGCTGTAATTTCACATTTCATAAACAAAACAAATGTCTTCTTATCTTAAAGCATACATTTAGGAGCATATATTTTTTTAAAGCAGACTTTTTGGAGACTTGGTCAAGAACACTAACAAAACAGTGCTAGGATTTATTTGTTGAAATTTTTTGTTTATTGAAGATTTAAATATTTTTTCTTATTTTAAAGCCTACTTATAGCAGCACCTATAATTGAAGGCCTATTTTTATAATATAATTTTTTAGGAAATCAAAAAAATTTGCAAGTTTAATTTTTTAAGAGTTAAAGTTCTACTTTGTGGATCAAACATTATTTAAAGTATACTTTTAGGAGGTATTGTAAAAACACTTCCTTAGCACTTATGTTTAATATCTTTTTTAGTGGTTGTATTCACCTATTTTAGAAGTAACAAGTAAAAAAGCTGTAAGTTCGGCCGGCCGAAATTTTTGAAAAAATTAAAATCCATTAAAAATTCCGTTATAATCTTAAAAATACCGAATGTCGCCGTATATTAAGGTCTATACGACGATGGGACCCGCAACTTTTTTCATAAGCCTGTACGGACAATTTTTTGGCGTAGGCTGTAGTACTCATTACGAACTTTAAATACCAAATTTGAAACAATTCCGGGGAATAATGTCCTAAAATCATCAAAATACCGAATATCGGGAGGTACTGTTATATTGGGGCTATACGAATGCGTGAACCTGCACAGACAATTTTCTGTCACAGGAAGTAGTATCCATTACGAACTTTTAATACTAAATTTGAAGTAGTTCCGATAAATAATGTCTCTAAAATCATCAAAATATCGAATATCGGGGGGGTACCCTTATGGGGGCGCAATACAAAGACGTGGACCTGCACAGACAATTTTCTGTCATAGGCTGTAGTATTCATTATGAACTTTAAATACTAAATTTGGTATAGTTTCGGTAAATAATGTCGCTAAAATCATCAAAATACCGAATATCGGGAGGTACCACTATTTGGGGGCTATACGAAGACGTGGACCTACATCGCCCATTTTCGGTCTTGTGTTGTAGTATCCATTACAAACTTCAAATACCAATTTTGAAACATTTTCGGTCAATAATGTCGCAAAAATCATCAAAATACCGAATATCGGGAGATACCTTTATATGGGGGCTATACGAAGATGTGGACCTACATAGCCCATTTTCAATACCAAAAATTCTGCAGACATAATACACATTTGAGTAAATTTTTATCAACTTACTTCATTTCGTTCGGCAGCTAGAGTGATTTCCACAGACGGACAGATGGACGGACATTGTTGAATCGACATAGAATTTTATGCTGATCAAGAATAAATATACTTTGTGGAGTCTAAAATGTATATTTCGAAGTGTTACAAGCTGAATTACAAACTTAATATGCTTTCCATACTATGGTGGTGGGTATAAAAATAATTTCTTGTTATTATAGAGCATACATTTAAAATTTAATATTTAAAGTAGACTTTTAGGAGAACTTTCCAAACGTTTCGAAAATTATATAATTTTTTCATGGAAAATTTATTCTGGATATGTTGACACCTATTATCAAACAACTATAGTTTTCGCATTGTAATGCCTATTTTTAGGAGCATATATTATTTAAATCATACTTTTGGATAAATTAATTTATATTATTTAAAGCATACTTTTAGGAGGTTGTAATACACTTTGCATTTTAAAGCCTATTTGTAGGAGCATATATTTAAAGCCTACTTTTAGGATATATTTTTGTAAGCATTTGGATATTTATATAATTTTATAGTAGACGTTGTTAAACCATTTTTCTGACTGCAAATTTTATATTAAAGGGGCAAATATTTTTTGTAGCATACTTTTAGGAGACATAAAAATTGTGTTGTGAGTATTTTTTAACACTTTACAAACAAAACAAATTTCTTCTTATCTAAAAGCATACTTTTATATATAATATATATTTAATGCATACTTTTAGGATACATTTTTCCAAGCATTTCGATAGTTATATAATTTTGCACTAAACGTTTTTAAACCCTTTTTCTGACTTCAAATTTTCTATTAAAGGGTCAAATATATTGTGCAGCATACTTTTAGGAGGTATTTTGTAAGCGTTCCGTAAACAGTTATTTATAAATAAAAAATGGTGTTGTGAATATTTTTTAACCCTTTACAAACAAAACAAATGTCTTCTTATCTTAAAGCATACTTTTATATATTATATGTATTTAAAGCATACTTTTAGGATACAAGCATTTCGATAGTTATATAATTTTACACTAAACGTTTTAAACCCTTTTTCTGGCTTCAAATTTTCTATTAAAGAGTCAAATATATTTTGCAGCATACTTTTAGGAGGTATTTTTGTAAGCGTTCCGTAAGCACTTATTTATAAATTAAAAAATGGTGTTGTGAATATTTTTTTAATCCTTTATAAAGAAACCTTAATTTTCCGAAGGCCTATTTCTAGGAGACACCTTTTAAAGTAATTTATATTAATTTATTTCCCGTTCTTACTTTCTTTCCAGATTATCTTCATAACTATATACAAAGAGAGAGAATAAAGAAACAAACTTAATATCACCGTATACGTCACTGCCATAAACCTAAGGACAACAAAAATAGCAAACCAAAAGCTAAAAAACACACACAAATACAACAAACTGGACTTGAGGCCGGCTAGAAAAATAGAAAAATAAAATTATAAAATTTTTTAAGGCATTCCTCTAACAAAGTAAACGCACAGAGAGGCCGCCGGCAGCATTTATCACAAAAATTTTGAAACCAAAGAAAAAATAGAAATAAAGCACAACAAAATATTCACAAAAATCCATCACAAACAAAAAAAAAGCTCTTTGGGTTGTTTAAAGAACTGAAAACAAAGCACATACAACAATAACAACAATACTCGCCATAGTTATAGACAATGTGATGATGATGAGGAGGAGGATTTTCTGAGAAAACCAAAAAAAAAAAAATTCTTGAGGAGAAAAAGCTTTAAAGGACAGGGAGAGAGAGAGAGTATAAAGCTTTAAAAGCTTGAGAGAAGAGATAAAAAGGAAAATTTTGCATTTGGCCACCCATGTGGAAAAAACCTCGTATCAGGCCCATAAATGGATCGTTTTTGATAAAGCTTTGAAAGCTTAATTTTGGTTTTCTTCACATAAAAGAAGCATAGCGAAGACCCGTAAAAAATTACCACCTACGTGCAACTTACTTAACATGCTGCTCTACAACAACGATTTCATTCAAACCAAAAAGCTTTATATAAATCACAAAACACGACGGAAATCAAGCTCCCGAAAAAGCTCCCTCACCCACACCAGGCGATTTCCTATTTTCAAACAAAAACTGGGTTTAGATTTTTCTTCACGGCAAGTGGGCAAACGAAGAAGAGCCTCTGAATCACGACATCTGCATGAAGAAGCCAGAAGCTTAAAGCTTTTTCCTGTTCGACTTCTAAGCAATATCAGCTCAAACGATGAACAAAAACAAAGGTTGTTGTGTCTGTCACAGAAATATAAGACTTTTTATGAAAAGCTCTGCGGCCAGAGCTTTGGTGGCAAAAATGTCCTCCCTAGTAAAACTAGTCCAGTAAATTGTCATAGCAATGTGGAGCACCATCTTAGTGGCAAGCCCATGAGCTTGGGGAAAGCTTTGGGGGATAAGAAAGCTTTTGTAACGGCCTTCTTGGCTAATGACTTGAAACAAAGACTGGCTTTGCGTAAACGTTATCTGAGGCGTAAAAGAAAAAGAAAATCGGAAGTTGAACAACAACAACTCTATCACAAATGTCACCAACAAAAACCACAACAACAACTACTACTGCAAACCCCAGAAACATTTAGGCCCTCACGGCCAATATCATTAGAAATTAATGCCACACCATTTGTAGATTTTGCACCAGAGACCACAGCCAAGGTGGCAACATTGGCCAGCGGGCCAGGACAACAACAACAACAAAAACTAGAACAACAAATGTCACATCATCCAAAAACTCATTACCACGGAGATCTCCAACTAAGTCGAAATTTAGCGCCAGCATTTGGAGGTAGAGTTCAACAGCCTAGCCGGAAGGGGATTAGCAGTTTGGAAAAACCCAGAACCAACAACAACCATAACCACATTCCAGCTATGATGTGGGAAATGCTCATTTTATGGGCAGTACATTTAAGTTTGACCGCAATTGCAACACTGTATGCGAATGTCAGAACCGCATTGTCACAAACCGCACAGCAGATTGTAAGGGCTGTTATTGCTGCCACAACACTGCCAATTATACAAAGAATACAACAACAACAACACGAAACAGAAAAACAACAACAGCAACTGCAGCATGGAAAACATGTGGAGGATATTCATCTACCAGCAGCGGGAGCCAGATACGCATCCGCATCATCATCACGATTACCACCTTCATCAGCAGACGCAACAATATGGCCAAGAGCACCACCAGAGTTACCGCAAACAGAGAAACTCTCTTCAGCACCTCCACCACCATCATCATCCTCCACTCTATTAATGCAAACTAAACCCGCTCACAAAAAACCCGTGCATGGGAGGAACTTTCCCCCACAACAGAAAAATCGAATGCAGCCAGTGTCGCACTTACAATATCAACAACAACAACAACAGCAGCTGTCATTGCCCTCACCAGCAGAACCACAGCCACAGCATTATAAGCAACAGCAGCAGCAGCAGGGCCAGGAGAGGTTAGGACAGCAGGTAAACATCAACAACATCACCTCCTCCAGCAATGGCGGCAATACGTGTAGCAGTAACAGCTTTACAGCCACCACCTCCATCGCTGCCACCACCACCACCAGCATTTTAACATTGTGGCAACACTGTCATCGCCGCTATCGTCCTCACCAACTACTACCGTTACTGACAACCAAAGGACTTAATAAATACTCATGGATATTTTTATTAATATATTTGAATTTATCTGCTAAAGGTAAGTGTGTAGCGAAATTTAATTAAGTAGTTTTAAGGGGCGGAACAGTTGGGCGCCATTTTAAAGGGTATTAAATTTTGGAAGAAAATTTATTGCTTTTATATTTATCCTCCACCATAGTTTATCGTTCCGTTTGTAACACCTTGAAATATACATTTTTGGCCCCACAAAGTATACATGTTCTTAATCAGCATAAAATTAAAATTCCATGTCGATTTAGCTATGTCCGTCCGTCTATCCGTCTGTGGAAATCACTCTAGCTTCCGAACGAAACGAAGTAGGTTGATAAAATTTTACTCAAATGTATATTATGTCTGCAGGACTTTTGGTATTGAAAATGGGCCATGTAGGTCCACATCTTCGTATAGTCCCCATATAACGATACCTCCCGATATTCGGTATTTTGATGATTCTAGCGACATTATTTACCGGAATTGTTTCAATTTTGGCATTTGAAGTTCGTAATGGATACTACAGCCTATGACAAAAAATTGTCTGTGCAGGTCCATGTCTTCGTATAGCCCCCATATAACGGTACCTCCCGATATTCGGTATTTTGATGATTTCATCGACATTATTCAACGGAATTGTTTCAAATTAAGTATAAGAAGTTCGTAATGGATACTATAGCCTACGACCGAAAATTGTCTGTGCAGGTTCACGTCTTCGTATAGCCCCCATATAACGGTACCTCCTGATATTCGGTATTTTGTTAATTTTAGGGACATTATTCACCAGAATTGTTTCAAATTTGGTATTTGAAGTTCGTTATGGATATTACAGCCTATGACAGAAAATTGTCTCTGCAGGTTCACGTCTTCGTAGAGCCCCCATACAATGGTACCTCCCGATATTCAGTATTTTGTTAATTTTAGGGAAATTATTCACCAGAATTGTTTCAAATTTGGTATTTGAAGTTCGTAATGGATACTGCAGCCTATGACAGAATATTGTCTGTGCAGGTCCACTTCTACGTATAGCCCCCATATAACGGTACCTCCCGATATTCGGTATTTTGATGATTTTAATTACCGGAATTGTTTCAAATTTTGTATTTAAAGTTCGTTATGTATACTACAGCCTATGACAGAAAATTGTCTCTGCAGGTGCACGTCTTCGTATAGCCCCCATATAACGGTACCTCCCGATATTCGGTATTTTGATGATTTTAGCGCCATTATTCGCCGGAATTGTTTCAAATTTCGCATTTGAAGTTCGTAATGGATTCTACTTCCTATGACAGGAAATTGTCTGTGTAGGTCCACAGCTTCGTATAGCCCCCATATAACCGTACCTCCCGATATTCGGAATTTTGATGATTTTATCGACTTTATTTACCGGAATTGTTTCAAATTTCGCATTTGAAGATCGTTATAGATACTACATCCTAAGACAAAAACTGAGCCATGTAGGTCCACATCTTCATATAGCCCCCATATAACGATACCTCCCTTTTTCGGCATTATGATGATTTAAGCGACATTATTCACCGGAATTGTTTCAAATTTAGTATTAGAAGTTCGTTATGGATACTACAGCCTATGAAACAAAATTGTCTCTGCAGGTTCACGTCTTCCCATAGCTCCCATATAATGGTACCTCCCGATATTCGGTATTTTGATGATTTTAGGGACATTATTTACCGGAACTGTTTCAAATTTGGTATTTGAAGTTCGTTACGGATACTGCTTCCTATGACAGAAAATTGTCTACGCAGGTACACGTCTTCGTATAGCCCCCATATATCAGTACCTTCGTTTATTCGGTATTTTTACGATTTTAGGTACAATACCCACCGAAATTCTTTGAGATGTCGTATTTGAAGTTCCTAATGGATGCTACAGCCTGTGACAAAAAATTGTCTATGCTGGTCCAGGTTTTCGCACAGCGCCGATATATACGATATTTTGATGATTTTAGCTACATTATTCACCGTTTATTTCAGGGTTGGATTTTGAATATGGTAATGGCTTATGAAGAACAGTGTAGGTCCAAATCGTAAGGAGCCCAAAATAATGGCTGCATTCGGTATTTTTAAAATTTTAACAAATGGTGGAGAGTATTCACATTTCGGCCCGTCCGAACTTACTGCTTTTTAAATTGTTAAAAAATCATATTAATCCAGACAAAATATATTTTCCAAAATCCTTCAAATCTGGGTGGATGGTCCCATCAGGATGGGTGGCAATGATGCAATATGTCCACAAGAATTTATCTGCCAAAGATAAGTGTGCAGCGAAACTTAATGAAGTCATTTTAGTTGGGAAGAAACGTTGGGCGCCGTTTTATGAAGTATTCGATTTTAGAAGAAAATTTGATCTATTTTTTTTTTTTTTTTTTTTTTTTTGGTAAAATTAAAGATTCGTATTTGTCCAGACGAAATAAATTGTCCAAAATCCTTCAAATTGTAAAACTTTATTTTGGGAATCACGAAACGCCCCATCTGGTCCATATTCTCATGATGGGTGGCAATAAGGCAAAATTTCCACATGAAAGTAAGGGTGTTGCAAAATCTAAATAAGTAATTTTAGTGAGGAAGAAATGTCGGGCGCCATTTTATTGGGTTTCCAATTTTTGAAAAAAAAAAAAATGATATTTTTTTGAATTGAAGAACCAGATGAAATCAAGCTCCCAAGATCCTTTAGATTGTGCTTCTATTTTTTTTTTTTTTGGAATTTCGAAATTAATTTAAGCATATGTAACGGGAAGAACCGTAGGGCGCCTTTTATTAGATATTATTATTTTTTTTTTTTTTTAAAGTGATTTTTTTTGAGAAATTGAAGAATCTTCTTTTTCCAGACGAAATCAATTTCGCGAAATCCTTCAAATTGTAGAACATTTTTTGGGAATTTCAAAACGCCCCATCTGGGCTATATTCCCATTGTGGGTGCCAATAGTGGAAAATTTCCATTTACATACATCTGATAAAAGTAATATGTAAATAAGAGATTAAGAACGGTTGGGCGCCATTTTATTGGATACCTAATTTTGGTAGAAAATTTGAATTTCTTTCGTGAAATTAAAGAACCGCCTTTTTCCAGATGAAATCAATTTTCCAAAATTCTTTAAATTGTACAACTTAAGAATCAGATGAAATAATTTTCCCAAAATCCTTCAAACTGTATAGCTTTATTTGCGGAATTTCAAAACGCCCCATATGAGCCATATTCCCATTGTGGATAGAAAAAATGCAAAATTAACACATGAATTTATCTGCTAACGGTGCACTCCTTCTATTACCTCCCCCACAGATGTTAACATTTTTAAAGAAAATAATTTACTGCACAGAAAGAGAAAGGATAATTCCAATTAGGTACAACTTTGCAAATTCTAATATTTGCGTCAGTTCTATGTTAGGAGTGGACAATATTGGTCCACTCCATCAAGTATCTCCGCCGCAAAGGTTCACAATTTTAAATCTTATAAAATGTGATGTACCAGTCCGATTGTCTTCAAATTCCATACATCACAATATTTTTTATTAATCAAAGGTCTGGTGTAAATATGGAATATATTTGTCCACTACTTCTGGTATTTCCCCCATAAAAGGGTTAATATGAAGTCCACACATCCTATTATTTTTACTAACACAAGATCTGCTGTGAAGATAACATCCGATTCCATTCTGACTTAGTACATCTCAATATTTCCATCAACACAAAATCTGTTATAAATATGGCAGAGTTTTGTCCATTTTTTCTGGTACCTCCCCCACAAAGGGTTCAAATTTTTGAGAAGCAAAACTCTCAAGGAAAGGGAAATAAGCACCCGGTCCTCTTCAAATTTCACACATACAAACATTTTTGCTTACACAAGATCTGTTGAAAACCCGAACCCCTTCCGGTACCTAACCCACAGAGGCTCACAATTTTCAATACCTTTATCTGTCATAACATGGGCAAGAAGTCAGCGATTTTTTACAACTTTCTATATATCTAAATATTTCTCCCAACCAGAAATCTGAGATAAATTTGGATTTTAGGATTTCGCATAAAATTGGATATAAATATTAGATTTTTGCCAATACCAATATTTTTATCTGTATTACATGAAGTATGAAAATTTAATACTTGAGTCGACTATATCTGATACATCACCAAACCCGGCGCGTCGCACTATTTATACCATATTTATTTAGTTCCGATACGAAATGGAAAATATTGGGCCATTCCTTTGGAACTTGACCATAGAGGGTCAATAAATTGAATAATCATAACATTGGTCAAAATATATTTAAATAGTCGAACATTGGCTGAGGGTAGGCAAAGCCGACTTATACTTTATACATTTTTTACTGCACAAATAAAAATTTATAAAAATTCAAAATCTCGTACAGTGCGTTCGGGGACTTCGATCGAGTTTCACGATTGTTTTTGAATGAAATTTTGATAAACATTCTCAAATTGTTATAATATTTATAATATTAATTTGGGGATTTTTTTTTTAAATTCTTCTTACAATGATTCTCGGGACAAATAGTATGGATTATAGAAATTTATTCAAGGATATGCTAAACATTTTCAACTTTTAAATATGATTTGAGATTTTCTGGCAAAAAGGAATAAAGTCTTTTCCCTCTTCTGATAACCGAAGACTTTCATTTTTAAATAGAATATATCTAAGAGATCCTCTACAATAGAAAACCTTCAAGGCAACTTTTTCCTTTATACATTTTCATTCAATACAAGATTCGCATGAAGTCCTTCTTCAATAGGCCTTCAATGAATAAGAATCTTCAGGTCTTCCTTATTGGAAGAAATTTAAAATCTCTTATTTTAACAGAATCATTTGAAAAGGGTTTTCTCTCATTGGGAGATCATTACGAGATCTTCTGTCAGTAAAAATCCCTCAAGAGGTTTTCTGGCAATGGAAATATTTTGAATGGTCCTCCCTAAGATGAGACCTTCAAAAATTATCCTTTTCAGAAGGAAATTTGAAAATATCTTCTATTGATGGGAGATCTTTTTAAGACCTTTTCAAGGGATTTTATTACTAGTAGA